CCCGCCGACGGCGCGAACCCCTCCCTGCGGGGCCGTAACAGCATCGCTGGAGGTGCGCATGCCTGCCGACGGGGCAACCGCAGCCTCAGCTGAAGCCGAAGGCTGTAGCGGGAACTCGCGACCAGAGCTCGCAGCTCCGGCTGCAGGAGGCCCCGGGGCCGGCGGTGCGAGGCAGCTGCACCTTCACAGGCTGAGGTGTCAGCGGCACGGTATAACACCGGTCGACGGCCCGACGACCCCGCCGGCCTCCGCGGCGAGCGCGGACCTGGCAGACGCGTCGGGGCGTAGAGGCGGGACGTGCGGCACGGTAGCCGGGAGAGGCCGAGTGGGGGGCCTCTTCCCCAAGACAGCCATCAGCGCCGACGCTGGGCCGTCGACCTCGCTCTGCCGACGGGGCAACCGCAGCCTCAGCTGAAGCCGAAGGCTGTAGCGGGAACTCGCGACCAGAGCTCGCAGCTCCGGCTGCAGGAGGCCCCGGGGCGGGCGGCGCTGCCGCCTTCTCGCGCACGTGCCGGGCGCATCGCGAACAGCGGCTGTCTGGGGCAGGGGCTCCAGGAGCGGCCCGCGAAGCCGCGCCGGAAAGGGCGCCTGCAGGCGAGGCAGCTGCACCTTCACAGGCTGAGCTGTCAGCGGCACGGCAGCTACCGTCGACGGCCCGACGACCCCGCCGTGCTCCGCGCCGGGTGCGAACCCAACGAACGCGTCGGGGCTTGGAGGCGGGACGTGCGGCATGGCGGCCGGGAGAGGCCGAGTGGAGAGCGCCGACGCCAGGCTGTCGACATGGCGCCCGGGGGGGGTGCTGGCGAGGGCCGCTCCGAAAGAACACGCAGAACTCGACCCCGCCCTCCATCAGAACAGCCAGTATCACAGGTGGCGCCCGTTGGCACCGACGCTGAAGGCGGCCGAGACGCGGGGGGAACCCCACGTACCCCGAACGACCTCGGCAGGTCGCGAGGGAGCGAGCAAGCGGCGTCGCTCGCAGGAGGCCCCCCGGAGGCGGCCCCTGGGGAACCCTCGCGAGCGGTCGCAGCGCGAACAACATCCGAAAGGGCGGCGGCGACCGACTTGGCGGCCAGCGGCCAAGCAATCGGCCGCAACGGCGGTTCCAACCCTGGAGGGGGCTGCAGAGCGGCGCGTGATGGCGTGGCGGCCCTGGGACTGCTCCGCGGCGGGGTGCCAGGTTTGTGCGCTGCGGTGACGGTTTGGGGAGCGGTACGAACCCCTCCCTGCGGCGCCGTAACGGCCTCGCTGGAGGTGCGCATACCAACCCCCGCGAATCCGCAAAATTCCACCGTGTCCGCCGCTAGAGCACGCGGACCAAGCACCGTGCGAAGCAGCCCGCCGGCGATCGCCGGGCGAGCAGACCCCCCGCCCCGCGGGGCTTCGACAGCCCGCGACGGCCCAAGGCCAGGAGGGGAAAGACCCTCCCAGTCGGAGAGGCCTGGCGGCCTGGCGGGATGCCTGCCCTGAGGCCTCGGCAGCGGCGCGGACCCCGCCGCGGGCCCTCCAGCACCCGCACCGTGGCGCGGCGGGGCCCGGAGAGCCAGGGGAGGGATGGCACCGCTCGCAGGCGGCCCTCCTGGAGGCGGGGGCGGGGTTCACAGCAACGGAAACGTAGCGGGGCCTCCCGACCGCGGCCCACTGGAGCTCACCGCTGCCAGGAGCTGGACCCTCAACCGGTGCAGCGGTCGCGCACGGCCGGATCGACGGCAGCCCCCCGAGCGCCAGCTTCTGGGCTGGGGCGCCCCGAGAGTGTGGCCCAGCGCTGGCCCACGTTGCCAGCCAGCGGAACCTCAACCGCGGCGACGGTCGCGCATGGTGGACGCGACGGCGGCAGTAGAGCACCCCGCCTCCGTGCTGGCAAGGCCCAGGGGCGGGCCCGCCGCACGCCCATCGGCGGCGGCAGCGGAGCACGAAAGGGGCCGAGGGCGGCACTCGATCGCCGGTCTCCACGCCAGGCGAGACCTGGAGGCGGCCCCGCCTGCCCGGCGACGAGAGCGGGCAGCGCATCAGCGGGGCCGAGAGGCAGCGACCCGCACAGCGCGCGCGGCGAGGCCGCAGCGGCGTCGGCGGCCGTGGTGTGGGAGGGCAGGCGGGAGAAGGCGGGAGAGAGGACGGGAGTGGAGGGAGCCCAGAGGCGGTGGAGGTCAGCAGGGTCCACCCGCTCCGACTCCGCCAGCCCGAGCGCTATCATCTTCGCCTCGTGGACCCCTGTGCCTGCCGTTGGGCGTGCGCCCTCTTCCGCTGGCCTGCGGGCGTCCGTGCAATGGGATGCGGGCGGCAAACGTTAGCCCCTCGGGTGAGCGCGCGAGCCGCTGCCTGCTGCCAGACGCGAGAGCCGGCGGCGGGCGGCGGGCGGCGCGCGAAGGGCGTCTCTTCTTGGCGGGGCGGCTGCGTCCAGGGGTCGGGCAGGAGCGGCGCTGCGCAACGGCGCATGGCGCGGCGCATCGGCGCGTGAGCGCCTTGTCCTCGCCCTCGTCCGCTTCCTCGGATGACGGCCTCCGCCGCCCTGAAGTTGGAGAGGCAGGGGGGAGAAGGAGGGGAGCTTGGCAGTGGCGAGGAAAAGGCGGGCAACATTGGCAACCCAACCTCGGGGATGGGGCCGCGGGCCAGCGCCGCCCTCGAACGAACGAGGGACCTTCATGGGGACGGCGCAGAAACGCCGAGGCGCTCGGCGGCGCCCAGCAAGCGGACGAGACCCCGCCAGCGGGGAAGTGGGTCGTCGGGGCGACTGCCCGCGCCGGCTGCTGTAGGGAACGCAGCAGACGGGGCAAGCAAGCCCCTCCTGCCCGCACGACCGTCGCCCGGGGCGGACGGCCGGGCCGACGACCTGGCGCGGGAACCGCCGCCTCGGGCGGTGGCCCACCGCAGTTGTAGCAGAAGGCCCTGGCCGCGTAGAAGTCGAAGAAGACCTAGAGGAAAGAGAACTATGCACATACAACGATTCTGGCCAGGCCCATCCTGAGCCCAGGATCGGTGCATACGCCCTCTACCTTGGCCAGGAAGGTATATGCACCGATCCTGGGTCAAGGCTGGGCCTTGCCAGGATCGGTGCATGTCTATAGTTCTTTCGCCCGAAGACCTGCGCGTTGCCCGCCTGGAGCTGGCCACTGGCGCCCCGGCCGCGCGGGCGCGGAGGGGGCGGAGGGGGGCCGACGCGAAGGGAGGCAAACCTGGGCCGAGGAGCTGCAGACGACCGCAAAATGCATGCACTATAGGGGATAAGAAAATGCATAAGGAAGATGAGAAGGAGGCGGATCCGGATCCGGATCCGGATCCGGAGGAGGAGGAGGAGGAGGAGGAGGAGGAGGACGAGGAGAAGGTGCTAAGCTCTGCCCACGACGATCAAAAATCGATCCGCGTTTTTGGCCTTCCCAAACATCGGGGAAGCCTCCCGTGGGGCAGTCCTGGGCGTCTGGGAGTCAGGGATCGGGGCGGCATTACTGCATACGTGCCACGCGAGGGCAGGGATGGGACCGCGAGCGCCCGGGGGAGCTCCAGGAAGGTGTGGGGCGGGAAAAGTGGGGGCATCTTCCTTCTCCATCCTGCTAAGTTTTGCCATCTACTCTCGAAGGTCGAGGAGGGAGGTTCTTGGATGTCGTTCGCCGCATTTTTTGTCACGTGGTAGACTCTTTTGCGGGGCTCCCAAGGCGCTCCCGGGACCTCTCGACACTTCTGGGGGACATGATCTTGGCCGGAAGCAGAGCTCACCACTCCCCCCACAACTCTTCCTTACGACCATAGCTCCCAACAGTAGAAAGGCCGACAATGCAGGCCAGACGTTCCAACAATTACAAATCTGAGATGGCGTGGAACTTCCAATTGCTACGCCGACGGATGGCAGATCGCTTCAAGGTGTGGATATCACCTGGGCGCAGTACACGTTCGCTCTCAAAAGACTCAAGCTCAAGCATCTACACTAATGGAGGGGGGCTCTTTTTCTAAATGGAGCTCTAGCCGAAGAATTCCCCACATGTAACTGAGCACTGTGAAAAAGGCTACACTGACGATTGGCGGCTTCTGTAAAGAAAAGGAGCTCCAGTTCAAGACCCAAGAACTTCCCAGATGTCTCGGACTGCGCAATTGCTAGACGGATAGAGGGCGACTTCTCTTCAAAACAGGGCTGGGCCCTTCCTCGAGCTGTGTGACCTTACCACCGGGCAAGTCCGGGATAGGGGTCAGCGCCCCTCTCACGGGGACTCCACTACCGGGCACTGTGACCCGTGACCCGGCGAAGCCAACCCTCCCCGATGTGGACGCAACGCTGCAATGCCAGAAAAGAGGCCCCGAAAGTGGCAACTTTCGGCAACGTTACAAAGCAGCTGTTAGTGAGTACCCGTTGCGATGCCGCTCTAAGGGGCCGGGCTCGGCTCCAGCTGGAGTTCGCGTGTCAATGGCAGACGCCCGTCGGGCGCTCGTCTTGCCAGACGACACGTCCCGTGATGAAGATGTATGCGTGCAGGGGCGTGTGGGGAGGGGACTGTGCATGGAAGGGTGAGCCGCAGAGTCGTCGTCGATGCCTTCTGAGGTTTGCTCTGGTTCTCCTCCTCCTCCTCCTCCTCCTCCTCCTCCTCCTCCTTCTTCTCCTCCTCCTCGTCCTCGTCCTCGTCCCCCTCCTCCTCCTCCTCCCCCTCCTCCCCCTCCCCCTCCTCTCCTCCTCCTCCTCCTCCTCCTCCTCCTCCTCCCTCCTCGTCACCTCCTCCTCAACCTCCTCCTCCTCCTCCTCCTCCTCCGCGGCCTCCTCCTCCTCCTGCATCCTCGCAGGAGGGATAGGGAAGATGCGAGAGGTGAAAGAAGTGATGAAGGGGGGGGGGGAGAGGCGGGGGAGGGGGGGGGGGCAGCGGGGGGGGGAAGGGGAAATGGGAGGAGAGGGGACGGCACAGGAGTGACACTCGGGCGGCACGGAGGGAAGGAGTGGGAAAGAGGGACGCAGGGAGGCGAGCAGAGCGAAGGAGGAGAGGCCCCTGAAAGCCCCCACAGCCCACGGTGGGAGCCCACGCCTTCGCAAACCCGAAGTCGATCAGCTTGCAGTAGCCGTCGGCGTCCAGGAGGATGTCCTCGCCCCCCGGGGGCGACGTCGGCGCGTGCGCTCGCGGCAAACGTGGCGGGAGGAGGGCAGAGCAGCGCTGGGGCAATGCGCGCGGCGCGTTCGGTGGGGAAACGGGGGGGCGGCAGGGGGGGGGCGGCAGGGGGGACGGCAGGGGGGGGGCGGGCGGGCACTCTTGGCAGGGGAACGGCAGGGGGGGGGGGGGCAGGGGGGGGGGGGGGGGGACGGCAGGGGGGGGGGAGGGGGGAGGGGGGGACGGCAGGGGGGGACAGCACGGGGGGAGCGGGCGGGCCCCCTGGCGAGGCTCCCGGAGGCCTCCAGGGCCTTCGGCGGAGCGCTCGGCAGGCCCGCTCCGAGGCCGCAGGCGGCGGCTTCCCGGAAGGCCAGAGGGGGGAGGGGGCCGCCACGCTCTGAGAAGGCCTGTCCCCGCTCGCTGCCCCCCTCCTCCTCCCCCTCCCCCTTCCTCCCCCCACTCCTCCTGCTATGTTCAATGGACCAATGGAGAAGCAACCCAATCGAAAAAAAATCCCCGGACAACCCCCCGGCCCACCCCCCCGGACAACCCATGCTGCTGAATGACGGCAAGGCGACCTGAACAGGACCCCTCGGACTATCCAGCGGGGATCCAGAGAACCCCACTGGACAACTCCCCTTGGACAAGCCTCCCCAAGATTTCCTGCCATGTGCGGGCCCGCGGCGGCAACGGCAAGACTGCGGGGCAAGCGCCGACCAGACGGAGGAGGGAGGGTGGAGCGAGGAGAGAGACGTAGAAATCCAGGAGCAAAAGCACCAACCAGAAAACGAGGCCGGCCAACACCGCAGGGATAGGAGGATTCGCCTCCCCTGGGGGCTGATGCGCAGCAGGGCGAGGGCAGCTGGGATGCCCAACGGAGACTCCAGCCCCCCCGCGCAGCCACAAAGCCGAAGCCGCTCGAGGCGCGCGAAAACTCGAGTCCAGCCCCCTCGACCCAGGAGGCGGGATCTGGTGATGAGCCGCGGGTGCGCAGGAGGAACGGCGCAGCGCCGGCCTCGGGCATGGCGCAGAGGACGACCAAGCATCCCCCAGAGCAAGCTGCGGCGCGCCGAAACGCGGAAGTAGCAAAGGTCGCTGGGATGCCAATCGCACTCGTGAGTTGTACACACGGCGCGCGACCGCAGCTCTGGGACTTCGCGGGCTGTTCGCATGATCGCTGGGCTCCTTGATATTTCACGACCAAAGCATTAAATTAACGCGAAGACAGCTGTGAACCACCTATTCAGACGGTGCTGCTATCCCAACGCGGATATCCCAAGTGCACCTGCATCGCCCGAGACGCTGTGTTTTTGTTATCAACGAATAGGAACGCGTCGTGCTGCGCATTGATCATGTCTTTGTCCTGGCGCAACAAGACTCCATCTACTCATACAGTACCTCAGCCATGATAGGTCTAGACTCCTTCTGCAAAACAGTGTGATGGAACCAGCTGGTCCAAGATATGCCGCAAATGCCATGAATGTCGCGCCCAAGAGGTATTTCGGTAACACATCGAAAGGAAGCGGCTGGACATCATGAGGCTCCAACAGGAATCCTATGTGCCAGCCGGCCCACATGATGAGTCGTGGCGACAGGGAGTGCACGCCCGATACATGTAAAGGTAAAGGGCACGGTCTACGCACTATCAAATACCAAGAAATCCTGAAGGCACTCGAATCATCACCAGCGACCCTTCTTCGAAGCAGTCTCCAACGTCAATGTCGCCTCCAACCGAAATGCGTGTTGCACTGGTCATCGTGCCAGTCTGGGTTGCCAGAGGCGGAACCCTCACAATTCCCAAGGCCTGAAATGCCCCAGGAATCAGTTCCGCCATTCAGGTCGGTAGATTTGCTCCAGCTCGCCTTCTAGGTGTTTAACCGCCGCCTGCCTGGAAATATGCGCACGAGCTGTGCTCTCCGTGCCGATCTCGCGGGTCGACACCACGTCCTCCTCCTCTGCCGTCTGGCCGGCAATGTTTCAGATTGCCGCTACGGGGGAGAGTCGTGCTGCCTGGGCCCCGGGTGGCACCGCCCCGTCATGCGGTGTGCTGCCAACGACGCTCGCCGAGGCAGCTGCGCGTCACACGCGCAGTCCTGCACTCCCCTGTGCGGGTCGCGTGTGGCGGGCCCCCCTCCCACCCAATTAGGTGCACTCGCCTGAGCCGGGCAGCGCCTCTCGAGGCGTTGGGCGCCGCCGCGCGGCGCCACGACCGCTCGGCGCGCGAATCGCAAAACAAAAAACACATCCTCATCCTCTGCCTCTTCCCCTTCTCCCTCTCCTCCGCCTCCTCCTCCTCTTCCTCCTACTCCTCTCCCCCCTCCTCCTCCTCCTCCTCGTCCTCGTCCTCCTTCTCCTCCTCCTCCTCCTCGTCCTCCTCCTCCTCCTCTTCCTCTTCCTGTAGCTATCGAGCCTAAGCGGCAAATATGGTCAGCTGTGTTTCCTCAGCGGGTGCCAGTGCCACGGCACACACGGGCTGAAAGTGTGCTCCCTGTGGTCGGCGCCTGGCTGCGCGGCATCAGCGATGAGACCTTGCAGCGTTCGCTGAAGTTCTGACACGCCGGAAGAAGATTCCACCATGCCTGGTGGCATAGACCAACCACAACAGCGAATGTTTGACGTAAGCTTCAGAACGTAAATTGGGCAACACAAGGTCGCTGCAGTGGCCGTTGGACTACTCGAGAAGCTGCAAACGATGTATCCTTGGCTGGTGCATCCCCACCTGCGAATCGAACCTGCAGATTTTTTTGAAATCCCTGGGCCCTTGCCCAGGACAGATCGGTGAACTTGGCCGAGCATCGCCAAGACCCGTCACGAAGAGAAGGGTTCAATCTTGAACACCATGTCGTGTGCCTCGTCTTTGCTTACCCCAGCGGCCTCGGTCAGCTTGCCCTGCACATGTCCAACGCCTCCAGGACAGACTTGCGGGCATGGTAGACAGCAGCAGTCCGACCAACTCCAGGTAGAATACACACCTTGTGCTTTGCACATCAGGAACAGCTGCGCACCAGCATTGCATTTACACATTATCAAAAATCGCTTGCAGCTTACACTGGCACTCCTCCTTTGTCAACTGGAGTACCAAATCGGACATGGTAAGCCCCGTATCAAATCCACACACACACACAAAAAAACGCATGCTCCCCAGTACGGGTGAACTCTGCACAACATGTGCTTAAATCATTTGCTGGGGTCACGGGACACTTGGTCGCCTTCCCCCACTGGCGGAACTCGTGTTGACAGGCGTCCATGTTGCCAAACATCGCTAGCTGGCTGGCACCGCCCCCGTGCACCCGGAACGTGTTCAGATCATCAGCAAAAGCTATATCCACAAGTTCTAGTTTTACCTGATCGGCTTTGCAGAATCAGCGTGAAGCACATTCCACGACATTGAGCCACAGGCACTGCCCTGGAGCACCATGTTGTCCAACATAATCTCGATGGACTTGCAGGTTGCGACCACAACGTGGGCCCTCAGAGCGCCAAGCCACGACTTGAGCAGCCGCGAAACTTCTGCCAGCGCCCCTCTCGCAGCCAACTTCCGGCTCAACCTGTCGAATAAGACCCTGTCGAAAGCGGCAGACACGTCGGACATATACAATGCCACTTTCGGCATATCCCCAGAAGGCTGTCAGTCAGGGAATTCCAAGGAGTCCAGGGCCACCCTCCCTCTACTGTAAGAAGACTGACTACTGCCAATCCACAATTCCAACATGACAGGTAGGGCAGAAAAGAAACAACAAAACCTCCCCTTCGCCCTCCTCTACTTCATCATCCTCATCCTCGTCACCATCCTTCTCTTCCCATTCCTCCTCCTCCTCCCCTTCCTCTTTCTCCTCCTCCTCCTCCTCCTCCTCATCCTCAGCAGCTCAGCAGCAGCAGCAGCAGCAGCAGCAGCAGCAGCAGCATCCTTCTCCTCTCCTTCCTCCTCCTCCTCCTCCTCCTCCACCTCCTGCTCCTCCACATTTTCCTTTTCGCGCGCAGTCCTCGGGCCTCAAGCTCCGATACACCACGCTATGGCCTCGGCCTTTCTCCTTCTCCTCCTCCTCCTCCTCCTCCTCCTCCTTGTCCTCCTCCTCCACCTCCTCCTCCACATCTCCCTTTTCCCGCGCAGTCCTCGGGCTTCAAGCTCCGATACACCACGCTCTGGCCTCGGCCGGCAGGGCTCCGAGGACGCCTCCTCTCCAAGCGAGAGGGAAGCGGCATGGATGGGGGAGGGGAAGGGATGCCAGACCTGTTGCGGACGAATGTCGTTCAACCCGGCAGCTAGCTGTTCCTCGCTTTCGACAGCTGAGAGCCAGTCTCAGGCCTTGGGACCATCAGAGATGGATCTGAGGCGAAAAAACTGCCCCCAAGGCGGAGACCCAGACTCTGCGGGGCCCGCGGGTTCAAAACGACATCCTTGCGGCAGGCCACGGGATAGGGGTAGAAGTACGTCTAGGGGTGGGACTTGGGGCATAGCCGTAATGCCTTACTGATCGGAAGATAGGTACACGGATGGGGGTGGGAATAAGATAGTGGGTAGAGATATGGAAAGAGATACAGGGGTCATGCTATAGGCGTATGGCGATGGGGATGTAAGGGGGTAGGCATAGGATTCGGGATGGACATCAGCGTGGGGCTGCGGATAGGGATCGGGATAGAGATAGAACATCGGGATAGGCATAGGGGTCGGGACAACAATGGGCGGCCACGGGAGGCCACGGGGGCCCACGGGAGGCAACGGGTGCCCACGGGAGGCAACAGGAGACAGTGGCAGGCAACAGGAGTCAACGTCGCCCAACCGACTTCGGATCCAGCAGCGCACCTGCTGGTTTCTCAGATGGCACCCTTGCGGCAGAAGACAAGGCGCAGCGTGGCACGGCTACGATGGGGCCACGAGGGAAGGTCACTGTGGGGGGGCCACGATGGGGAGCCACACTAGGGGGGGGGGGGGGGACACGATGGGGAGATCGGGGTACTAGCGGGGATAGCGACAGGCATAGGGATAGGGGCAGGTATGGGGATATGGGGCTGGGATGTTGGGACAGGGATGTAGGGATAGGGATGGGGATCGGGATGGATATGGATATAGGAATAAGCAGACTATAAGACAGGGACAAGGAGAAACGTGATAGGAAGAGGGACCCCCGCTTGCCGGGGGTGCGTAAGGCAACTGGGATGATTGGCGGCCCCCCTTTCCTTTTCACCTTCCCCCTGGGCCTGAAATCCGAATAGAGGGGGAGGGGCCGGGGGGAGGTCCAGATCCGCAGGAGAGCACTGGCAACGCAACATCTCAACGATCGGTGAAGCACTCTTGGCTGCCCACGGGGCCGTTCCCTCTCGAGCGACCACTCTTTCCCTTCCCCCCCGCGCGGTCTCCTCGGGATATTTATAAACGGAGGACCATCCAATTGCTCGGGGGGTCGGGGGCCACCTGCTGGGTAGTCTGACCGAGAAGAGGAGGAGAAGCGGAGCGGGACGGCGGAGCGGAGGGAGCGAGAGGGGAGAGCAAAACCTCTCGCCATCAGCTCAGCCAGGCGCGAGCTCGTCTGCAGGCCTACCTACTTATTGTTCTGCTCGTCCACGTACTTGCTGAGAGCCCGCTCGAGCGGGCCACGCGGCGGGCCACCCACCAGCCTCTTGCCGCCCTCGTACTCCGCGAGCTTGAGGAGCAACTGCTGCACCGTGCTGCCGCGCTGGTGGCGGGGGTCCACGTGCCACATCAGCGTGCGCATCGGCGTCGTTCCCTCATCTTTCCTGTGCACCTTCACCCTGATGTGCGCGATCAGCTGGCCCACTTCGTTCGGGCCGTCGTACTTGACCAGCACCTCGTTGAAGAACGTGAGCATCTCCGCGCTGAGCTTAACTTCCCCTTGCTGTGTTGCCCCTGCCGCCGCCGTCCTCGGCGCCCCCTGGCCGAATGCTGCCGTGAATATCTGAACTGCGCCGCGCCCCAGGCCTTGTGGTCCTGCTTCTCGCCTGGCTTTCCTTCGCCTTTAGCGCCGCCGAGTCGCCGTTGCGCTTCTTGCCTGCCGCCTGGCGCATCGCGACCACGCCCGCCACGACGGGGGGCTCGAACTTCGTGAACAGGAGGGCGCCGAGGTCGGCGATGTCCTTCGTGTTGGTCTGCGCCAGCTTCACCGCGGGGGGCAGGATGTCGTCCTTTCCTCCGTTGAACTTCGTCCTGTCCCTGGTTGCGCCGCCCTTCTCCTACTGGTCGCCCCCCTCGGTTCCTGCGCCGCCGTCGACGGCGATGGACTGGTTGCGCCGTGGCAGCGCGGCGAGCTTCGGATCCCCCGCCATCGACTCGGGCAGATCTGCTGGAGACTCTCCGGGGTCGGTCCGATGGTCTCTGGTAGGCGGTCCGACGCGAGATGGCTGCAGAGATCATCAAGAGCACCTCATTCATATTCACAGCATAAGCATTATAATGCTCGGGGCTGTTCAGAGGAAGTAAAATACAAGCTGCTTCGCGCTGAAAGTGACGTCGTTTAAACGCTCGAGATAAGTGCTGCGCTGCTGTTCGTTGCGTAGTGAATGTTCGACGACAGCTGGCGCTCGCGCTCGCCGGAGCAATAGCTAAGTATAGGTTTCGAATATGATGCGCCGACGTGGCGCGCGAAAGGAACACGGGCCTTGTAAAGAAAAAGGCCCCGCGCTTAACTCGACGTTGACCGCGCCGGCGCGCGGTGGCATCCGACGGGCCCCGCTCCGGTGGCGGAACAACACCCTGCGGCGAAGCTGGCTCTTGAAATCCTGGAGGCGGGATCCGCCTGCCGAGCCCTCAGCTCCTCAGCTCCGCGAAATCAATCACACTGAAAACCTCCATCGCGCCCTTATCCGCGAAGTGTGCTAAATTCAAAGCTATCGGCTCGATCATGCAATCTGGCAGTAAGTCCACCACTGATTGGCCCAGGTCCGCGGCCATCTGGTGAAGCCACGGCGATGCATATTGGGGTGGGCGCCCTGCTATAAGCTGAGGCCCGTTGCCAAACTCGAACGCACCGAACAAAGCAACAAGCGCCTGGGCGCGGCGCTCGGGGCGTCGACCCCATGTCTGATACAGTTTAAGGCGCCTGGTCCCCCCCTCCTGACTGGAGGGTAAAATCTTCCAAAACCACAGGGCTTCTTTGTTGGCGAGGCTCTTGATCTGTTTCCCTTCATAATTTGCCGCCTTCCCACCCGTCGCCGCCCTCCCCAGTCAGATCAAACACGAGTCCAGGATATCGCGATGAGACAAGACTTCCCGAACCAGACAACAAAGCATTTTGAACAGACCCGAAAACTAAACATCTCCTCCACCTCCTCGCGAGTCCTGTCAGCTTCCACATTCACCTGAGAGAACGGAAAATGAAAACCAGTTCGAGCTGCAGCGCGCCGACGGGCAACTTCGTTCCTAGCCGAGCCCGGCACGGCGATGAATGGCCCCAAATAACGCGCCCCCTCCCGCGCCGCCCCCTTCAGCGCAAGATCGCCCGCTCGAGTCCTAGCCCGACCTAGATGGCCCTGCTGGGCAAAATGTAAAAGGAGCCCCTGCTTGGCGGCATTATGCGCGTGACCATGCTGGGAAAGAGCCCCGTCGAGGTCTTTGTCCACGCGCGCTAGCTCTTCCAGGAATGAGGCCAGCGAGTCCCCTGGGTCAGCGATGACGAGCTTGTTCCAATCATCTGCATATTTCTGGAGCGAAATGTCCACCTCCCATCCCATCCACTCCCCCGCCACTAGTTTTGATATGTTATCCCGTGTTCTCAACTCCCTCCCCCACGATAGAACCGGAAAGTTCCATGCGCCAGCGAAGGCCGAAACAATAAACTGGTCGCCCGTGCATCCCCCTTGTCGGGGCCTGACCAAGAGTGGGCCATCAGAGGCTTCAAATTGAATCAGGCCCTGCCTAAAGCAAAGCTTACAGATCTGGCGACCCTCGGGCTTCGCGCGAAGCTTGCCGACCTGTTCCAACGCATTGTGGTCTGCACTGCCGAATGCACTGCCGAGATGTTTTTAAAACACACTGCGCGCGTTAACCCTCGCCCCCGGAGTCGACGACTCATAAGTTGCGAACGCAAAGCCGCCTTCCCCCGACAACGCTCCTTGACGAACCCATAGTTCATGACCGACGGCTGGAAAGGTATGGACTACCCGTCGCCCTCTCGGCCCCTTGCGGCCAGACTTCCGCAATCCACAGGCTGCGCTGGCGTGCCAGTACAAGGGGTCTGCCGGTGCATCCTGATCTTAACCAGGCCCACATTCACCAAGAACTGGGACGCTAAAGTACCTGGGGGCTCCGCAGAAGCGCCTGCCCCTGAAACCCGCGGGGCGTCTTTCCTTGGCTTAAGAAGAAAACACGCGTGCCAGAATTCCAGCGGCGCGGCCCCAGGCGGGGCCGCTTTCCGTTTTTCTGTTGCCCGAATCGTGCGCCACAAGATAGCTGAGTAATCTGCCCTTGCAAATTCGAAGAGTTCTGCGTCAGGGAGCCATTGAAAATGTCCGCCCTGGTCTTTACGAAGAGTGGCCCAGTCGGCTGATGCACCGCCGCGCCCCCTTCATGGCCTGGTAGAGCCCAAACCTCCAGCCACCGGTGGGCTGGAAAAGGGCCTGGTCGAATCAGGGCGCCATCTCTCTTCTTCGGCCCAAACCGCGTTCGCGCTGCAAGGCGCGTGATCCTCGTGGCTTCGGCGGCTCGCCTCTGCTTCCACATCTCGTTGGCCTCGTCCAGAAGCTGTTTCTGCCTGCGCAGCTGGGGCTGCCTTCTCGCGGTCTTCTGCTGCTTCATTGGATCGGCCAATTCCTCGTCAAACCTCGTCCCTTCCTCCTCGCTGCCTCTGGACATGCCCGCGCGGATCACTGTGCGTTGCTTAAGTAGCCGACGCCTATCAGCACAGTGTTGGGGATAATCCTCACATAGGGGTGGCCGCGCAGCTGTCGAAAACAACTTCCCCCCCGCTTGATTCAAATGCCTTTCAACCGTCTCGAACATGTCGTCGGGTGAAGCGCATTCCTTGATGAAGCGCGGGTCCACTGTTTGCAGTGAATCACGCACACGTTCTAGAGATTCTCGCTTGTGGGTGCCCTTCTTGAGGGCCATCATGAGAGCATCGCGGTCGCAACGCAGAGTGGGTTCAATCTGTACTCCAGGAGAGACCGAAGCATAACTCATGACGCACACCAGCGGCAAGTGATGTCGCGGAGCCGCACCCCTTTAGAGTTGTAGCTTCGCTCCCAGCTTA